TATATAATATATATATATATATATATATATATATATAATTATATGTTACAATTCAATATATTTTTACAATAATAATGATATCAAATACTGTAAATAAATTATTACCCATATATCGACGAAGATTGCGTAATGCTCTACATAATCTACGTAGTTCTTCTTCATGTTTAACATTATTTTCTCCCAACATACTACCTAATTCATGCTCAGATTTCTCTTTAAGAGCTTCAAGTGAATTAGCTTTTGAACAAATCATCTAAAATTTATTAAAATAATATTATATAATAAATTTATTAATAGAAATATAAAATTTTAATAATTATTTAATATAATATAATTAAAATATAAAGAAACTCATTTATTATCATTATTTATTCATACCTGAATAGACTCTTGAGTAAGACCTACTACTCTTAACCATTGCTGCAAAGATGGATATTGTTTCATCTCTGGAGGTAATGATTCTTCTAAAGCCAATTTGGCTTTGGTTACAAGTTGCTTTGAATATAATTTAATAAGTTTTCCCTAAAATAAGTAAAAAGTCCAATCTATTATTTTTTATCATTAAATTATTTTATTTAAATTATATAATTACTTAAAAATATATCTTAATTATTGATACTTAAATCACAAATTAAAAATATTTTTCTCATTAGGATCATCAATAAAATTTATTTGAAAAATCAAATTAATTTTACTAATATTTTAAGAATATTTTATAATCAATGATATAAGCTATAATCTTTTGAATTTTATAATATTAAAAGAATAGTAAATAAGTATTTTGAAAATAAAAAAAGATATCAAAATATTAAGAAAGATAAATTATAAATACATAAATACAAATTTCAAGTTAATAAAGAAATATATTTGCAACTTGTTGACAACCACAAAGCAATCCTTCACGAGGTCAAGGCGATCATTTGAAGGTAGTAAAGGAAAAAATAAGAAAGGATCTAAAGAATTGCGCGCTTTTCAAGGTACCTCGAGCGTTCGAATTTCCTGTTGAGTGAGTTCTGCACTGGTTGAACATTGGGTCCTCAAGCCTTCGAGTCGTTCAGCAGAGATGTCAATCATGGATTGAACGACATCTAAGGCTCGACGGATTTCTTGTTCAGCATCTTCACTGTCCGCCATCCCGTGTCACGATGACGGCCTCTTGTTTCGTTCTACACGAGGCTAACTCTTATTTCACAGGCATAATTTCGCTTGCCCGAGGCTCCTATCGGTCACGGTTTTATTACTGACTCTTCGTGTAACCAAACCACTTATCAACATTGACAACCATTTTGGCCGCCTATCGGTGACGTCAATCGGTGCCCGACAATCCAGGATCTCAGTGCGTTTATTTGAACGATATTCGCGTTCACAAAATCGCTCTTCTTGATTACCTTTCCATTCTATCAATAGTATTTTTAGTTTATTTAATGTTATATTTGTAAAATTTACTATTTAATATTTTTTTTTTATATTTGTCATTCTAAAATATATTATTTTTCTTCTTTCAGTATTGAAAACTTTTTAATAGAGGAATTAATAATTTTATTATTATTTAATTATGTGTATTATAATAAAAAATATTAATAATTTTATTTCACTGAATAAGAAATATGNATATAAAACTATATATAAGCGCCACTTGCAACATTTTTTCGTTGGCTTGGTGCATTCAATATGATAATCGCGGTTTCTTATCTAGCTTTCTTGTCGTTTCAATGAATGATCAAAATCATTCGTTGCTTATTCTTTTCAGTGTCATGTATTTGTTAGACGAAATTTTATGTTGTGCCTTCAAGTTGTGGAACTTACAATAATTGTTGGTGTTGTATGTTAACATTAACGAGACTTTATAGAAATGGTGAATATAGACACAATACAAAAAAATTATCCGCTGCATTGGCTTGTATGGAATAACAATTATGTAGAACTCGAAGAGGAATTATCTACAAAGCTGGTTGGTAAAAAAAAAAAAAAAAGAAATTAGGAAAAAAGAGGAAAAAAAAAGAAAAATGTTGATTACTAAGTAAACTATACCTGTGATTAAACCAATGGTGACAATAAAAATATGCGAATTGACAATATTCATCAATTGTTTTTTTTTTCTTTAAAATATATATATATGTGACAGATGACAATTTATATTTTATGTTAGACATAACTGTAGTTCGTAATTACAATAAAGAAAGATATATATATACACGTGATAAAAATATCTTTGTTAATATTAAAAAAATTATGTATTGTTAGTATATAAAATATAAATTTAATTTTTTTTTCAATTATATGTTTGATAATATTAGCATTACATAATAAATAAATCATTAATTTTTAAATTATGGAAATTAATTATATATTATTATTATTGATTTAAGAAAATCATTTGATATTATCAGAATCTGATGAATGAAGCCTTGCATGAGTTAGAAACCATAAATGTTCATCAACTTGGAACTTTTGATATTATGTGTTTAATATATCATTGATGAATTTGATAAAGCTTATAAGAAGTTTATTATATTAATTATTAATATTGACAATACTTAATATCATTAAGAAAAAAGAAAGAAAAATGTTTTTTAATATTAATGTTAATATTCATATATATATTTAAGTATGTATATTTTAAGTATTATATTTAAGTATGTATATGTATATTTTAAGATTCAAATATATTCAAATATACAATATATTTACAAAATATTTTAATAATATATATAATATTTTATTTATTGTGAGTATTAAGAAAATAATAATATTTTATTTTCTATAGCATAATATTGAAAAACTTGATAATAGAGGAAGAACACCATTGATGTTAGCTGTGACTTTGGGTCACATTGAATCTGTTGGAGTATTATTGCAACATGAAGCTAATGTTAATACAGAAAATACTCAAGGATGGACTGGTACTATAATCATATAATTTTATTTAATAAAATATCAAATTAATTAATATTATAATTTTAATTTTATTATTATAGTGGTACAAGAGGCAGTTGGTACAGGAAATCCTGAATTAATACAAATGGTGTTAGCACATAGAGATTATCAAAGATATTGTAATCGGGTAGCTGGTATTCCAGAATTGCTTCATAAACTTAAACAAGTGAGTTAAAGTTTATATAAATATTTATGAACATTATGAAAATTTGTTAGCTAGCATTTCCATTAAACAAATATTCATGAATAGAATTTTTCTTTTTATTTTTTAAATAAGATAATATGAAATATAAATAATAAATCAAAAAGTTCAAAAATATTTATGAAATATCTATAAAACATTTGGTAGATAAAAATCTTGATATCTATAGATTAAAAAAATATTTTTTCAGGCTCCTGATTTTTATGTGGAAATGAAATGGGAATTTACTAGTTGGGGTAATTATAGATTTTATAACTTTTTCATTGTCTTTAATTATAAATATTAAATTAAATTAATATTTTATTTATTATTAGTTCCTCTTGCCTCTAGAATATGTCCTAGTGATACTTATAAAGTATATAAACAAGGCAGTAATGTGCGAATTGATACAACTTTATTAGGATTTGATCATACAAAATGGCAACGTGGAAATCGTAGTTATGTTTTCAAAGGACAAAGTGAGTAATTGAATATAATTCTTTGCATGAACATTAATATAAATTTATTTTAATCTTCAGGTTTTTTTTGTGTCTTTTTCTTTTATATTAATAGTAGAGTTTTTTATTTATTCTTTAATTGTATATATTAAATGCAAGCTGCATCACATGTACCTGTGGCAATTAGATGTGAACGGAGTTATGTGTTCAGTATGGTTGGACAAGAGTCAGGTGACAGAATTATTTTTAAAATTAAATTGTCATATGCAGAATCATAGAAAATATAAAAATATAATAAAATATCTCTGTAAAATAGGAAAATTTTCTATTTCTTATTATATACATATTTATTTGTATGTTTCTATTTCTTATAATTTTCTTGTAATTTTATTACTTTTATTATTTTTTAAAAAGCTGATATAATAAATAACTTTGATTGAAACTTTAAATGGTAAGTGTAATTGATATTGTAGTAAAAATAATTACTATTAATATGTTATTTATATCTATATGTTTTTTATGAATAATTTAATATAATAACAAATTTGAAAAGTTTTAATTAAAATTGCTGTAATTAATAATAAGAAATTTTAAATTTAAATAGAAAATTATTTGAATAAATCTTTTTAAATATATTTTTTTATAAATATTATAATTTAATAATAATTAAATTTATTTATACAGATGATGGAGCAACAATGATGGAAGTAGATCACAAAACAAGAAAAGTATATGTTGAGCATATTAAACTTGTAGATATTGATGATATGCAATTAATGGAACCATCTGAAGAAGGAGTACTAGCTCGACTTACAAATCCAATAGTTACTACATATATAGATACAGATAAAATTAGTTTTGAACGGTAATTGTTCTTCTTTATTATTTCCATTAGTATATATACATTTATTAATAATTATTTATGTTTAATTAGTAATAAAGCTGGTTTATGGGGATGGCGCTCTGATAAAAGTGAAGTAGTTAATGGACATGAGTGTAAAGTGTTTAGTGCATGTAATGTAGAATTAATAACGAAAACTCGATTAGAACATTTATCTGAACCTGATAAGGCACGGGCTCGTGCACCTCGTACACCTCTTCAATCATTTCTTGGTATGGCTGAACAGCAGCAAGAGAACAGTAATAGCGCAACTACTAGTGTAATTTTCTTTTTTTATACATTTTTCTATATATATAATGTGCAACAACAAAATTCATTTATCATTCGTTTTTAGGAAGAATATAATAATATTGGAAATCCTTCTAATATAACAGCTGAAGAATATTTTGATCCAGATGTTGATTTAAATGGAAGAGATATAGGTAGACCAAAAGAAGTTAATACAAAAATTCAAAAATTTAAGGTATTATAATAAAACATTATTAGCAATATCTAAAAAACCTAAATCTATTATGTTTGTTATGTTTGTATATATAATGAATATAATCAAATATAAAACAATAGGCAACTTTATGGCTTAGTGAACAGTATCCATTAAGTCTTCAAGAACAAATTATGCCAATTGTTGATCTTATGGCGATATCTAGTTCACATTTTGCAAAACTAAAGGATTTTATCCAAATGCAACTACCAGCTGGATTTCCTGTTAAAATTGGTTAGCTTTAAATTATTTTTATTTATTTATTTTTTTAAATATAAATTTTAGTTTTTAAGTATTCGAATTTTTTTTATAGAAATTCCTTTATTTCATATATTAAATGCAAGAATAACATTCGGGAATATTTTTGGTATGGACCAAGAAGTACCTCATGTAGGACATTTACAAGAAACTAATAGAATGACTTGTTTAGTTGATGATATTTGTTTTGAAGCGCCAATGGGATATGTAAAACTAGGTAAGTTCAATTTATTAAACAATTTATTATAAATTTAAATAAAAGTATTCATAATTTATATTTTTATTATTTTGTTCTTAAAGGCACTTTTTTTGATAAAACTCTTTTATTGTCACAACATTAATATAATTGTAATTATTTATTTATTTAGCAGGTGCTGAAGTTCGAACACAATTTAGTATGGAAGAAGAGGACGATCTATTACAATTTGCTATTCAGCAAAGTTTATTAGAAGTTGGAAGTGAACGTGATGAGGTAGAGATATTTAAAATTTTTATATTTTTATATTTTATTAAAAAATATTTTCTTAATAAAAATAAATTCTTATAATTTAATATCATTTATTAAGGTTGATATATGGGAAGCCTTAAGAGCGCAGAAACCATCACGACCTACTACGCCTAATATGACTACTGAAGAAGAAAGGCAGCTACAAAGGTATGAAAATATGGTGTTTATTATTACGAATATTATTTCAGATATTTTGTTTTTATTTTAAAAGTTCTAAAATTTTATTTTGCATGTGTTCTTGCTCAGCAATTAAAATTCAGAAAGGTGGGTGATAGATTGTTATAAATATTAGATGCATAATAAATTAACAATATGTATATATATATGTAAATATTTTTACAGAAAATTCAAGGAATTGTAGCAGATATTAAAAAAAAAATCTAATTTATTTTGATATTTTATTTTTTTTTATATATTACATATTTTTTTAGTACATATTAATGTACATATAGAATATTATTATTAGGAAATTTTTTTTTAATAAGTAATTGCAAATTTTTATCCTTTCTTTCTCTCTCATATGTAAAACAGAGCTATACAGGCAAGTTTGGCGCTTTGTCAAGATAATACTGCTGGATGTGCGAGCGGTCGAAATAACACGGATAAAACAAATGACTTAGAAAACAGTGATTCGCTCGAAGATACAGCGGAACAATTAAGACTGGCTTTAAGACTTTCAGAATTACAACAGTTAGAAGAAGAACAGCGTCGATTATTAGAAGAAGAAACATTTCGACAAGTGTTGGAATTATCTCTTACAGACAAATGAATGTGCAATAGTCACTGCAAATTTGATCAAATTATACTTCCACGACTACGTGAAATCTTCCAAAAGCATGACTATTAAACGCGAAATCATTTCCTACAATTCATAAGACGCATTAAATAAA